GGGAAAGATGGTACTTGAAGCTAAGAATGTATTTCAGGACTTTGTATCTAAAAATACGTAACATTACACCACCATTGCCATTTCACCACAGCCTCGCAGGGGGCAGACAGGCTGAACAGAAAAGGGTAAGATAATCTCTTCAGACTGCACTCCCCAAGAAGTAGTATATTACAGTAGTTTCTTGGAGAACACACTCCCCAGGGAGAAAAAAATATATATATTACATAAAGTATTCTCACATATTAAGTTTTGCATTTTGAACGTAGTACAGAATATCCCACTGAAAAAAAAAAAAGGCAAACTGTACAGATTCGTCTCCTCCCTAGCTACGGAGGGTAGCTAACCGCGACTGCATTGCTTCAATGTCTTCCTCCTCGTCGACAGCAGCGGCCGCTCCCATGGGTTCAGGCTCTGGAAGGGCATCTGTGACTTTACTAGGTGCTTTACCCAAGGCCCCTGCGAACAACAAACAGGCCCGTTAGTGTGCATTAGGTCTTCATTTAGTAATTAGCAGCTTTCAGGTACAGATATTTAAAATAATTCAACCTGTCACTTTTGGCAGAGGTCAGACACAAGAACTGTCAGCCCCTCCTGAGCCGCGGGGAGCGGCTCCCCCCTCCCACAGCCCACCGGGCAGGAAGGGAGCTGCTCCCAGCCAGGAAACAGGATGGAAAACAGCAAAGCAGGATGTGAAAAACAAGAGAGGGCAACAAGCCAGCAGCAGGCACGAGGTAACCGCAGGGCAGGAGCTGGGGAACTGCGCTTTCAGCGTGTTACAGCCAAACATGGCTCCGGTACTTATATTTATCACACCACCGCACAAGAAAGATAAGGAGCAGGCTAAGCATTATCTAAGTCAGATAACTAAAACAGTAGATCATTACTTCATGAGCTGTAAGGCAGAAGTTGGGGTTTTGTTTTGTTTGTTTTGTGGGGTTTTTTTTCCCCAACAACTCAAGACACTAACAGCATTTTACAGCCAGGAATCACAACACAGCCTAAGACTCAAGGCAACGCAGCCGAGTTTATTTCCTGGCTTCATTAATAATAGTGTATCTAGTCAGTCATACAAATGTCACCTTGTTAAAAGGATCCACTGTACAAACACTCATCTGTCAAAGCCTCAACTACAAAACTGCACAGACATCAGCTGATGCACATTACTTATGCTTTACCGCACCGGCCTTCTCAGCCAGTATTCCCTGAGAAACCGGTTTGTCAGAGCACTCTGCCTATTAGCAAAGGCAAAGACACCACTGGGAGAGCGCAGTTAAGTCAGAATAGACAAAGATTTAAATTGCTGTGTCTTCTTGAACAGAGCGGGGGCCAGGCTCTGCTCTCGGCAAACACACGCACACACTCACCAGCTGTAATTTCAAAAAGGATTTTGTCAATTTCCATCTCGGCTTCCTCTTCCATTTCCTCCTGATCCTCCAGGCTTTCAAAGGTGTCCTCCAGCATTTCCTCTATAATACCAGCCTAGCAGAAAACAAAAAGGCAGCGCATGATATCCTTGGAAACAGCAGAGTAAGAGGACACGCTTCCTACTTTCCAGATCAGGTTATGCCTACCCAGGCATTTAACACCCGCTTGCTTGCTGCTCAAGCTTTCCCGATCAAGGCTATCCTGTTGCACAAGGGTCGGCCAACACACTTGCCTACAGTTT